AGTTCTACAATAAAATTAAAGCCTTTGTCTGAACTTTTATAAAAATTAGAATTTTTAACTAAACTTATATAGCATCAATTGTGTGACACAATTTAGTACATTGTTGTATTTTTTCTTGTCATTACTATTTGTGAATTTATTGATTCCATGATCTATACTTCTTAATGGCTTCTGAGAACATTTTGAAATGCAAGTGGCATTCATGGAATCCTGTTCTTGGTAATGATGCACTTTATATTTTTTCTTTTGTACTTGAAGTTTTAGATCCCTTCTTTTAATTTTACCAAAACCTTGTGCCTTAAGTGTAGGCAAATATGATTATCATATATGACACTTTGGTGAGTGAACTAAATTAGGATTCTTAAGAGGCAGGTCAATGAATTTGAATAAGTAGAGACTGAATATATTACATGATCTATGGAATACTATAGTTCTCTTGGCCTGAATTTTTTAGTTGATATAGTTGTAAAAAGGGAATTCTTCTATCCCATGGCTTAAGGATACATAAACTCTCGATGCGGCAATCTTTTTATTGTTGATTATTATAGCTTCTATTACTCCTAGAAGTTGACCAACAGGGACCTGAGTTTAAGGGATTTTGTCATTCAGCTTTCATATAGTAAATGCTAAGGCCAGCCCTTTGCCTGCAGGGCGTTCTATCAGTGAAGAGAAACTGGCTTTTTCCAGGCAGCCAAATAAGGGGAAGAGTCAAGATTTTCAATGTTCTCTGTGAAAATGAGTTTGTGCTGTTGAACCTGATGGACCTTAGATACTTTCTCCTTAAAGCACTGCAGGCGCCTTGTTGCAGCATTTCAATCTCTTTTTCTTTGATTTTTCTTGATTCTTTCAAGTAGTAGAAAACATGTTTTAGGCATTTAAGAAAATGCTGTGTATGTTTTTTAAAAGCTGGTAAACTCATTCAGTTGAGTAACAAACTTCAGTTGTAATAAATTATTGTAGTTTTCAACCTTATTTTTAGGGTTGCAGTGGAGAGCCATTTGGGGTGAGGTTAAGTAGAAAGTGAGCTGAAGAAATAAGTCTATGCTGTGTAGGGCTAGATTTGTGTTAGGGGGCGGCACATGTGTGATCCAAACTTCATTGTAGCTTTTGAGATTGCAAAGGAGAAATACTTAAGGAATGGTCATTCACAAGTTCTTTAACAGATAATGGAAGTTAAATATTTAAAAGTGAGAATATAGTTGCTGGATTGCAGTTTAGTTTGGAACCTACTTTTATTAAAAAATTATTTTAAGTGTAGAAGGAAAGTCTTAGGAATTTCCATATAGTTTGCAAGGAGAAACAAACTTTTACTGCCTCAACTTTAAGTAGAAAACTTATGTGGGTTTTGGGCATTTTAAGGAGGATTATTTATTCATTGTTGAAGGACAGAGAAAGTCATACATTTTTGTCAGACAATTGGCCAATCAGGATGTCGGTCAATTGAAATGTTTAGAAATGTTTAGACTACATAAAGAAGAGTAACCACAGTGGCACCCTTTTCCACTCTGTTGCTTATTGCCTAAATTTCTTTTGATTTCCTTTTTCATTTAGAAAATGCTGCTAAATATGAAGATAGAAGGGAAAGAGGTAGAGTTAGAAATTATAGCCTATTCCATTAATTTTGTAATTATATCTTTTTTCCTCAGTGTTTTAAAGTGGCATTTACCAGTATGGGTAAGATTAATTGTTACAATACAAACCAATTTGAAAATTGGTTTTTAAATTGAGCTATAATATATAAAATCTTACGGTAATGTGCAGATCAGACTATATTCAAGTGTGGTTATCATACCCACACCAATTGTCTTGTAATAATCGGGAATGCATCCTCTGTGTGGTGTTTGCAATTTAATGCTATTTTAGAAATCACACCAGTATATCTAGTGACTTTCCTGGGTGTATGTGGCTTATTATTGATTATAGTTTTATTTGGGAATTTTATATTAGGGAGGTGGGGTAAAGCCCTTTCAGATTGTTAGTTTTTAGGAGTTCTGATGGACAATAGGGGTGAATGAATGAGGAGAAGGGCGTTAGAATGAGTAGTAGAAAGGACAGTTGGATAATGATTAACCAAGTACGTACTGCAAAAATAACGCAGAGCCTAATATAAAAAGAAGGAGACAAAACATTCAAAAGAGGAATGCCTTAAGAATTTATCAGGGAGCAGTCATAAATATAAATAAAAATGTATATTTTAACTTAAAAGTGGAGATCATGCACTTAGTTTTTGCCAAAAGTATATGAGCCTTCTACCTCTTCTGAAGAGAAGTCAGAAAAGTGACAGGCTATTTTTCAGTGCCTACTCCATTTTCTTTCACTGTTTTCATTTTCCTTTAAAAAATTTTTACTTTATTTCTCTCTTTTCTCAAATTCAGTCCCTTCAGCATGAACATTGTTCTACCCAGGATACACAGAACTTTTAACCACTTGATTAATAATATAGGTTGTCTCATTAACAATGAGAGAAAGTCACTACCAATGAATTTCTTTTCCACTAAAGATTTTAAATATAGAAGAGTTTATGATTGAGAGACTTATCACCAGAATATAAAGGATTTTTGTTTCTTTTGTTCATTGTTCTATCCCTAGTGCCTAGGACAGTGCCCAGCACTAGGAACATTCTCAACAAGTACTTGTCAGATAAATGACCAAAACATTAGATTTAGAAACTTTTAATGTCATCTTTCTTCTTAACAAAAATTATTTTGGCTAAGAATTTGGTGCTTGCAGTATAAAGTCATACTATGAATAGAACAGTGGTTCTCAAGTGGAAAGAAACTTTTTTTTAAATCCTGCTTTCCCTTGTTCTTTTCTCCGTGCTGCCTTCTCACAAAATGAGATTATCTGCTGCTGAGAACCACTGGATGAGACTGAAATTAAGTAATTCTTAGGAGCTCATGCTCAGTCATGCCTGACTCTTTGCAGTCCCATGGACTGTAGCCTGCCAGGCTCTTCTGTCCATAGAAATTTCCAGGCAAGATTACTGGAGCAAGTTACCATTTCCTACTCAAGGGGATCTTCCCGACCCAGGGATCAAACTGAGTCTCTTGCATCTCCTGCATTGGCAGGTGGATTCTTTACCACTAGTGCTACCTGGAAAGCCCCAAAATTCTTAGGAGACAAATAAGTAAATGGTAGATGCAAGTATGCATGTGCATGGTCAGGGTGAAAGGAAGAAGGAAGTTACAAGTTCAAAAGTATGGAGATAAGATGTATATTTGAACAAAATATCAAGGTAATTCATTAGAGTTCCAGGGCCAACTGTGAAAGGACAGAGAGGGTGAGTTGATGTAGGCAGTGGGGAAAGGTCAGATTAATAGAGTGCTTGAATTTTTAGGGAGCCTTGTGAATTATTGACGAGAGTGACACGATCACAAAGTGAAGACAATTCTGTTTAGCTGCTGTTTGTAAAATGGATTGTAGTTTGAGGTGAAGAAACATTGGAAACAGAAAAATTAGGTGATTTTTGTAGTAGTTCAAAGCAGTTTAGCTGTTTTGGTTGTTAAGTTATACAGTGATGCCTTTAGTAGATAACCTGTTTTTGAAGTCTTGATGCCTCCACTTTATGACCTAGGGTGGATAGAGGCAAGAGGAAGAGTTCTGAACTGAAAAGCAGTAGGCCAGGATTCTAGTTCTTACTTCTTTACTTTCTAAATTCTATGATCATGGATAAATACTTAATTTCTCCTGGGCATCAATCACGTGAACTAAAAAATAAGAAAATAATGATCTGAAAGCTGGAGTCTAAACCAGTTTTTGAAGTCCTTTCCAGTATACCATCCTTGTATCAGTTATAGATAGTGAACAATGAATACCATATTTTGTTTCCTTAATATTTCCCCAACCAAAGTGTTTTAAGAAGAAAAAAGTCCCATGATGATAATAAATAGGTCAAAACTTATAATTTAAAGTTTAGTATTATGTGCACTGACTGTTGTGCTTTAAAATGTTTTTCTGTTTTTATATGTGCTGTGATCAGGTATTTAGTTTTTTAGTATTACTAGACTGTAATAGCACCCAAGTTGATGGACAAAGATTCAGCCTGGGATACATTTAGGGAAATCTAAAGACTGTAAAAATTCTTTTAAAAGAACAGTGTTTTATAAGGTACAGGAACAGTACCACTAATACTGTTTAATTAGTACTACTAGCACTCATAATTTCTACCTTTTTTTTGTTTGCTATTGAATACACTGTATGTATATTTACACTTACACATTATTTGTTTATTTATTTACAAGGTTTTAGGACCAGCAGCTTTTTAGGGTCCTCTTTTTCTGTCCCTGTCTCTCCTTGCTTTGTTGTTGTTTTCCCTTGTTTGGATTGTTTCTTGCCTCCTCCCGCCATCCCTCCCATCCCCCCCCATCCCCCTAAATCCATCTGGAAAGATAAAGAGGCAGCTGCTATGGTAACTTATGCATTTTGGTTAATGAATAGCAGACTAACAAGATAAATAAAGCGTATGCAAACTGTGCGGTGTTAGTTGCTGTCAAACTGTAGGGGTATAATACCTTTTCTTTTCCTTCCTCCCACCTTCTTGAAATTCTTTTAACTTTCTTGTGATATTTTGTTTTCTAATTTACCATTTCTACTGTTGAAATGCTACTATGAATGATTTCCTTTTTCTGCTTAGTCTGCGCAATATTTCACTTTTGTGGTGAGTTTATGGGAGATGAGTTGAGGTGCGTAGAGGAAAAGAATTGACTGGATTAAGAAGTAGATTTCCTTTAGTTTCATACACAGAACAGGAATAAACTTTTTTATTAAATATTTTGCTTTTTGACCTATAACTTTTTTTTTCTTTCTTTTTTGGGCACTAGTGCTCCTTTTGAGCTTCTGTCTGGGGTTAGAACTAGTACATAGTGTGTTTCTTGAATATGTTTCTGTCATAAAGGCAAGCTGCAACTGGAGTATTGTATTTAGCCCAGCTCTGAGAAGTCCTGCAATCTGTGCCATCCTGTCTCATGCTGTCCCATCTCATAGTTGTCCTCTCTCTGCAGTGCTCTATGCCCAGGTCTCTGTGGCTGGGCTGCTCCAGCCTGGCGGACAGCATGCCTTCGCTGCGATGCCTGTATAACCCAGGGACTGGCGCACTCACAGCTTTCCAGGTACTTTCTCTGTCTCTGTGGGTTATTTGTGGGCATTAGTATGTGTGTGTTAATTCATTAGTGTGTCTCTCCTTCTTTCCCATCCTTTACTTAACTTCGCTTTTCTCCTTCATATTGCCTGTATTTCACATCACTCAGTTCTCCTTTAATTTTTAATGTAAATCCAGACTGATCCACTCTTGAGATATATTTGTTATGATTGGTTTGCCGAAATTGACAGAGCACAACTTGACTTGTTGGTTTTCATATTTAGTAGAAGTATGTTAGTGAGTTTTAAAGTAATCTCAATAAATAGCATTCAATATGTAATGTTTGCTCTGGACCTACATAAAACCAATTAATATAATCAATTATTTGCAACCACTTGCCTGGGCACTTTCTTATGTTTTTCTTACGATTACTAAAAACATAAAGTGCTCAATTCAGTGTCTCTCCTGGTTACTATACTATTATTTATGTGTGGGTGTATGTTTATGTATATATATGTGTATATTTTGCATATATAAGAGCTGTGTTTATTTATATCTTGATTAATAGGTCTAGTTTCAAGGTGGAAAGGCCTTCATGACCTTTGAGTATAGCGTTCGGCTTGAGACAGTCCAGCTGGTCTTGCTTGGACCATCAGATCCTAGTTCCATTTGGCCTTTCTTAGAGGCCACTAGGACAGTTCCAGGATGTGAGAGAAAACTATAGAAGGAAAGAGGAAAACTTGTAGAGGAATATGTAAGACAGAGCTCGATGCCCATTCTTTACAGATTAGGGTATGATACATAGTGATTTTTTCGGTAGAAGTGTCATATATCTACCTTAGGTATTTGGAATTTGTATTAGCATTTGGGCTTCCCTGGTGGCTTAGATGGTAAGGAATCTGCCTGCAGTGCAGGAGATCCTGGTTTGATTTCTGGGTTGGGATGATCCCTTGGAGAAGGGAATGGTTACCCACTCCAGTATTCTTGCCTGAAGAATTCCATGGACAGAGGAGCCTAGTGGGCTACAGTCCATGGGCTTGCAATGAGTCAGACACAACTGAGCAACTAACATTTACTTAGTATATGTAACAAATTAGTGATTTAAATTTGTTTTTAACTTACGTAGCTCATATTCTATTAATAATTTCGAACACAAGTTGTAAGTATCAGAATGCTTATGACTGAGTCATAGTTAAAGGTTGGAGAACTTAAGTATTCTACATTCCTGACCAGTGCTAACAAATAGTTACTTACCTTTAATGATACTATTTTAGTGATGGTATTACTGGATATTTGTTTGTCCTTTGCAAAATATATTAAATTTCCTTTGTCTTATGAGATACAATATGATGCTGTACGGGCTTTAAAATTAGTTAAATCAGGACTTATATACTGTTTGTCACTAGTGGTATGATCTTAAGCAAGTCATTTCACTCTAAATTCATCTATAAATGGACACTCTAGTTAGGGCATGCAGTAAATAGTTGGTGTTTTTATTATCCTCATCTTCATCATCATTAATGTTAGAAAATATTAATATCCTGAGTATCAATTTATTTCAAATATTGTGTGTGTGTTTTTTTTTTTTTACTATATATCATATTGATGAAGTTTCAGCTCTCAAGAAACTCATACTCTAACCTTTTTTTTTTTTTAACCTTTTCGGAGTTGCAGTGAGTTTCAGCAGAGTGGAGTCTGAGAGAACAGTCCCTATAAGACTGCTGTCACTTCAGATACCAGTTGTAAGGACACTTCCCCCTCTGCTCCTCTCCTCAGATTTGATAATTCACTAGAAAGGACTCAACAGAACTCACTGAAAGCTATTATATTCAAGGTTTATTACAAGGAAGAGCTACAGGTTAAAATTAGCCAAAAAAGGGACATAACAGAACAGAAACTGGAGGGAACCAGATCTTCCACCATCTTGGATCTAGTTAGTTCTAATCAGTTTTTGTCATGTCCTTTTTCTGTCATTCTTTTAAAGGTTGCATCCTGTCCCCCCTTCCTTCTGTTTCACTTAGAACAGGGTCTGGCAGATTAATGGGTTCTATATTATTAGAAACATGCACGAAGGACTAGGTTTGGAAACTTTCAGCAAATACTGTTTCACCTTGCTATACAACATTACACTATGAAATGAAATCTTACTTTTTTTTTCATGCCTTAACCAAATTCTGTATCATAGCAAAGCCTACTCTGGATTCAGGTATTGATGAAAAACTTTGCTTTCCCCAGTATTGCTATAAGTATGAATGTTTATTTTTCTTTTCTTATCTTCAGAGAAATCATTAAGTTTTATGTAGTAAAAATGGGAAAAAATGGGGTTATCTGCTGGCATTCTCTTAATTCAGTGGTTTTTTTTTATATGTCAGGTTCATTATACACAGGTACTCCAAATTGCTGATTGACTAATTGGCAGATATAGACTTAAGTCTAGTTTTTTCTGTTTTTACTACTAGAACTATAACAATCTTAAGTATATTTGCATTTTTCTGGTTTGGGTTTTACCTTATTTGCTTATTTGTGTAACCCTCACTTTCAAAATATAGAGCACTTCCATAATCTGAGAAAGTTCCTTTGTACCCTCTTCCAATTAGTACCCATGAAGTGAAAGTGTTAGTTGCTCAGTTGTGTCTGATTCTTTGTGACCCCATGGACTGTAGCCTGCCAGGCTCCTCAGTCCCTGGAATTAGCCATTCCTGTCTCCAGGGGATCTTCCCGACCCAGGGATCTTCCCAACCCAGGGATCGAACCCAGGCCTCCTGCATTGCAGGCGATTGTTTACCATCTGAGCCACCTACATTTGTGTAACTTCACTCTTTAATAATCCGAAAAAATTCCTTTGTACCCACTTCCGGTTATTACCCATATCCCATATGCAGTTACTGTTCTGATTTGCCACCAAAGATTAGTTTTGCCTGTACTTGAGCCTCATATAAATGTAGTCATACATTTTGATCAGCATAATATTTTTGAGATTTCGCCTTTTTGTTATGTTTATCTGTAACTTATTCTTTTTTATTGCTGAATAAATTCCATTGTACTAATATACCACAGTTTTTCCATTCATCTATCGGTAGACATTTGAATTATTCCCATTTTTGTCTACTATGGCTAAAGCTATTGTATACAGTTTGTGCATCTTTTTGTGGACATGGGTGTTTATTTCTCTTGGCTTAATACTTAAGAGTGGAATTGCTTGGGTTGTAGAGTATTTAAGAGATATATTTCAAGTAATTCTTCAAAGTGGTTGCCCAGTAGGAATACTTATTTCTACTCATGTTGCCAAACATCTTTGAGGAGATGACTTAGTAATAGCGTCATGATAGTTTTTTCTTTGAAATTATTGCATTACTTTAGCAAATTTGAAGCACCTTCAAAATCAAAATTCTTTAACAATGTAAAAGGAAGAGCTGTTGCTTAATTTGTTGGATTATCCTCATTAACTCAGATGGAAATGGCAACATTGGGATGGTTTGATTATTGACTTTTCCAATCCACACGTTTCAAATTAGTACTGAGAAGATGCTCTAAATATTCTTTAAATACAGTAGATTCTTTGAGGACTTGTTTATAGTTTGAACATATTTTCATTTTCATCTTTTTGCTTCGTCCTGGAAAGTCTATAGGTAATTAAGAGGATTTCTGTTGATTAACAGTGGGTGTATTTTGTGGAATCATTTGTTTGTCTTCAGCACCTGGTAGTCTTATAATCTGTACTATTAAATGAGACTGAGCAATAGCAAGTGTTTAAAAGTAGCTGAGTAATTCAGATCCTTTATTTTCTTTAGACATTAAAGAAGAAGAGAAATTCTGACAGTAATAATTTAGGTAATTTATATGACCTTAGAATGTTTTTGGTGTTACGTATAGCTAGTAATTTTAAGGAATTTTTGAGCTTGAAGCATGTAATATTTTAATATTAATCTAGTGTCCGTTGTCAAAAGTTGAAATTGTTGAGAGTTGACTTCAGGAGAGGTAATGTAATGTGTTTTACTGTTTAAGAATACTTAGATGTCAGGGAACTATATTCAATATCCTGTGAGAAGCCATAATGGGAAAGAATATATATATATACATGTATATATATATTTGCATGCATAACTGAGTCACTTTGCTATATAGCAGAAATTAACACAACATTGTAAATCAATTATTCTTTAGTAAAGTTAAAAAAGAAAAATACTGAAGTCTACTAAATCTTGCCATCTATTATGTGAAATGTTCACATGGAAGAATACTAGGAAAGTTAAGCATTATTCAGAGTATGGGTATATATACATATGGAAGATTTATTTTACATTTGAGGTTTTAGAGGAATATGGATTATCACACTGAATGTAAATGAGCACACAAATTTTTTTTACAAAACACTACCATAGGAAAATTACCCGATGTCAAAAATGCTCACTTATCAAATCCTAACTGATGCCCCCCATTATATATAAATCATCTCAGTAGTGTATAATTTCTGTTTAATAAAAAGTTCAGTTCCTTTTGAACACTCCCAAAGATGTTCTATGGAACCATCACCCTGATACCAAAACCACACAGAGTACCAAAAAAGAAAATTACAGGGCAATATCTTTGATGACTGTAGACACAGAGGTTCTCAACAGAATATTAGGAAGCCAAATCCAACAACGCTTAAAACCACAACCAAGTTGGATTGATCCCAGGGTCATAAGGACGGCTCAGCATACACTGAGCAATCAATGATCAACCACATCAACAAAAGGAAGGATAGAAACCACATGATCATCTCAATAGACACAGAAAAATTTGCCTTTGATAAATCACATCCATTCAGATAAAAACTCTAATGAAAATTGGTAGAGAGAGAACATGTCTCAACATAATAAATGCCATTTATGACAAATCCACAGCCAGTATAATACTCAATGGTGAAAAGCTGAAAACATTGCTAATTATTAGAGAAATGCAAATCAAACTACAGTGAGGTACCTCCTCACATTTAATGGCCACCATTAAAAAATCTACAAAAAACAAATGCCAAAGAGGGAATGCTCT